GCAGGACGTGTTGCTGTGGGATTGAGAGGTAATGGTTTTAAACTGGAGGAGGGCTGATTCAGATTAGATATAAGGAAGAAAGGTTTCTATGAAGAAACCTGAAACAGGTTCCCCATGGGGATGGTGGATGCCTCATGCTGGAAACTTTCAAGGTCAATTTGGATGAGGCTCTGAGACACCTGATGGTGAATGTGTCCCTCTGATAGTTCACTGTGTCCCTGCTTATTGCAGAGGGGTTGGACTAGGTGACCTTTAAAAGCTCCCTTCCAACTCAAACTATTCCATGATTCTAGTCAATTGGCATGATATTCACACATAAGCTTCCATGTAAAATACAGTATACTACACAAGAACTGTGTACAGTGGGTCATTAGACATTTTATTAATACATTAGGATAATTTTGAGTCATTTGAAAGACACATAGAAATAATAGATTGGCTAATTCCTTGTCATTCAAGATTCTAACCAAAATCAGATAACCTAGCAGTATACACCTATGCAGCAATTGCTGTATACTTACTAAACACCAATGTGCATCTTCAGGTTGAGCTAAAAAAATAATCCCTGCCTTATTTTCAGAAGAGAATTTTCAGTGGAACTTGGAGGAAAATAATTGAAGTAGTTGTTTTAGAAAGGTTACTCAGTACGTTCTGATAAGAGAGTTTGACGTTTACTTTGTAATGCAAATTGATGCCGGGTTTTAACAGATATGTTTTGGGGTTGGGTGGTTTTTTGTTTGCTTTCAATAAAAAGAGGAACTTTCAAAAGCCATTGTGAATTCTGCATGAAAGTATTAATTAGGAAACATAATTATAGCATTGTGCTTAATCAGAAAAACCCAGAAATTTAAAGCCCAACACAACGAAACATAAACTTTCCAAGAAGTGTTTGTTGTTCCAGCTCATTAACACACTGTCTCTGTTGGACAGCATTTTTTAAATACCATTAAAATTAACAGTGTATTTAAGAACTGCTTTATTGGCATGTTTCTCCAAATTCTAATTTAAAGCTGGTGGTTAATTGTGCTGTCTCTATCATCAGAGCTTAGAGAAGTGAATACACTCCATGGCTTCAAAATTTCCACTTCAACTTGTTGATTCAGGTGAAAATACATTCTCCAAGTGAAGTAAGAAAATAAGTGGAGGCTGTTAGCTAACATTATAAGAGGATGACCTCTTAGTCCTTCAAAGTTTAACAGAGCATAAAAGATGTTAGCCTGATTTCACATGACTAGGGTATTGAGAAAAAACATAAAACATCTTTTTTAGTTTTGTTGTTTCTGATGGACTCTTTCAAAACAACTAGACATAAAATTACTTGGGTTTTTTCTGTTCCAACTTGTTCAAATTGTTTTTCACTGTGTAGAAATCTTTAGATGAACTGAAAATGGCTAAATGATTGAATTTTTTGTTAACTTAGTTTGGGTGGCAGTATCTGCTTTCTGCATAGTGCTTTATTCTTTCTAGAACATTTTCAAAATTTCTGTTTCATTTGCTTTATCTCTTTGGCCATTATGAGTTTCTTTAATGTTTTTGTTCTCATCCTTTTCTCTTTGAGCTTTTTCTGGTTGAATAAATCCTTCCTGTTCCATTCACAGCAAATGTTTTCTTTGATCTCAAATTCCTAAGCAAGCTGGGCGAAGTCACTGGGACTGCACAACTCTTTGTTTCTTCCATTTTTAACATTAGTGTCCATATGTGTACCAGGTCTGGATAATGATATCTACTTTCATACATCCCTCTATAATGTTTAAGCCTGAAATTATTCTTTAATGTCATGTTAAAATAGATCTTTGTAAGCTTCTCCTCTAATTAATTAGTATGTTTCCACCTTCTGTATCGTTAGATGCTCTTGTGTTTAGATTTTGGTTGTCCTAGCTGCATAAATCTTCCATGAATTATGCAGACCTGTGAACACGGGCCTCTGGAAAGGCCCTTCTCTGCCAGATCGTCAGTGGCAATGACTACCATGCAGTGGCTTCATGTTTAGTTTGTTATTCTTACATTTCTTAACCTTAGCATCTTTAACATCATCTTTTCAGTCTTGTGGACATAGTTCCCCAGTATTTGTAAGCTGCCTCAGTTCATACCTAAAGTGGTCAATGAAGTATGCATCTGTTTTTTTATACAGTTTACAAGTGGACTGTTACTCCATTGTTAGTTGACCTATAATATTTTTTTCTTAGGTAATTAATATAATTCTCTCTTTTTTGCTATTCTTTTGGGAGTTTGTTTCCCCTTCCTTTTTTTGTTTTACAGATACTTACTACTTGGCATTTTTTTCTGGTCCACAAGAACTAATGGCCTTTACTCATAACCTTGCTAACTGTCATTTGCTTTCTATTCTGAAGTTCCAGCCTATGCTTTTTTTCTCAGGTGAACTAGATCACATTTGAATTTGTTTGAACCTTTTCCTAGCATTTAGCTTGGGGTTCAGTTTCTTTTTGAAACTTTGTTAAGAGATTTGCACCCAGAAACTTGGCACTTTTTTTCTGAAGTATATTAGCCAGCAAAAATAAAAGGTGGGGTAACTCTTCCTGCAAGGCTTGATTGTCTCCTGTCCTTACAACAACAGGGTTACAATGAAGCTAATACTGTTCTTCTTGTATTCACATGGTAATAGAACTTGGCAGTCTTTATAATGCTCTTCATTTATGCAGTCTGGTGAAATAGCTCAATCACACTTGGCTGCAGTTTCAAATTATGTTTAATGCAATTTGATAGTGGATTGCTGCTGACAAGTGGCAATCTCTTTCCACCTATTGTGGTACATTCCAGCTTTGCATGAAATCTAATAGAGGTGTGACCTTAGAATAAGTTGGATAATTTTGCTCATTTAACAGAAAGTTATTGTCCACAAATCATTACTTTCCTATGAGATCTTTTCATCAGGCTGGTGATATGGCTACACTGTTTGTCAACAGCTGAGCCATGGAGTTTCCAGAGGTCCATACATTTAAGACACAGCCTGCAGTTAAATGTGGTTAAATATTATTAGAATTTAATGTTTCTATGACTATTTTTTGCAAAACATTGCCAGGCTTAGAGGAAAAGTCTTTAATTTAATGAAGATTGGAGTAGAACATATGTCGGCAAGTGAGTGTTTACATTTCATCTCCTTTTATGTTGAAACTAAGGTAGCTTCCACACCTTTCTTAGAGGAACAAAGAGTTGTTTGTTTAGTAAGTTGTGATTCTTTTCTTTGTGACTTTGCTGACTTTGTGATCTGACCTTTCTAGAAAATTGTGTAAGTGCTGGTTTTGACTATATACTGGTTTGTTTGTTCAGGTGCAGGAGGGACTGGTATTTAAAAGTCCCTCTTTTATGTATTAATTGCGCAATTTAAGTATTTCTGGCAAAATTCATTTGTGCAGGAAGAAAATAATGTGTCATAGTAGTTTGATTTATACAATAAGTGCATGTCTTTCTCACCTCACTGGTTTTATTATCTTGCTACTTCTGCTGCATGTTTCACTGTTTCTTTCCAGTTTTTCTCTAGTTTCAGCATTAGTCATAGCCTACCTGTAATTAATATGCATGTGTTCCATAACCCACATCAGGAGATGTACAGAAACGTTACATATCCAACCCACTTAAACCCACTTCTCTGACATGTTGGCGAAACAATGCCATATAGCAGGAAAGCACAGGCAGCAGCTCTGTAAGTTCCTATCCTGCTGAGGAACTCTGTACCACACACATATTTTCTTATTGTAATCAAATGCCTTTAGCAATGCCTGGTTTTCAGAGTCCATGCTAATTGCTATTTCTCTGGTTACTACTTCACATCTTTCTAGTTTTCTCCTCTGAGATAATTGTGGGACAGGATGTCAGCTAGGCAGCGAGTAAATTAACAAAGACTTCTTGAAATAGGGCCTCTATTGTCAGTGAAATATAGAGCTCCATGAGGTAACTGCATTGAAGTATCATTCAATGTTTCTGGCATGCCTGTGTCTTTCTGGCACTTGTTTGAAACAGGCACTGAGAACTAGGGGATATTACTTAGCTAAAACATCTGTTAATATGCTGGAAAAGTGCTGGATTTTACTGCTAGATTATAAATAGTGTTGTCAAACATTTATCTCTTACTTACTTGGAAGGATGTAAAATAATGAGAGTGCTTGTTCTAGCAACATTACCTCTACTGCTGTTTCCACTCTTTTTAATTTTCTGTGTTTTTTTACTGTGTATATTTATTATGCTAGAGGTGATACCCACTGCTGATTTGTTTCATATAATTACTTTTTTCAATTATTAGAATTCTTTTGGAAACAGAAATATCCTCACAAGCCTGAAAATGTCCACTAAGTTTTATGGTAAAAGACAACTCAATAGTTGAATTGCTGTTAAAAATTATTGTGGAAAATACTGTGATTAAGACTTTTAATGTTGTCTTATTGTTGCATATTTGACAGATGTAGAAAATACAAATAATCCTAATCTTCTTCCACAGATTTTACTTTTGATGCCTATAAAATTATGAGTAGAGCTGTTTTCAGTTTCACTGATGAGTTTATATCAGTTATTTTGTTAAGAAATGGCTGTCATCCACTCTTTAGCCAATACAGCTTATTAGCTAGCATGAGTATTAGGTTTATTTAGAAACACCAAAGTTACTGTCTTCATTGCATTTAATTAATTTGTTTTGTACCATATTATAGGCAGATGCACAAGTACAATAATGATCTTGATTTTTGATTGCATACAATGCCTCTAGACATAGTCTCAAGACAGGGCTGTGATTAAAGCACATCAATCAGTTGTGAACTGAGTTATCATCAGTAACACTTATGACTGAAGAGAGCACATTGATGCTGGATTGGTTCACTCCCATTTACAGTAACGACTAGCATGAAAATGTTGTTTTAGTAGCAGTCATTTTCTGTTCTTCCCACTGCCTACACTTCCCCCATTTCCCCTAATTGAAACTGTGTTTTGATGTGATCTCAGCTGACGCTGTTTCTGACACTGTCTTCTGCTACCATCGGCTTATTTTCTAGATGGGGAGCGATGGAGTTTTGCGCCTCAGTAGCTCCGCTCTAAATAACGAGTTCTTCGCCTATGCAGCGCAAGGGTGGAAACAGCGACTGGCAGAAGGTAACTCTCTGCTTGCTCTCAGGTCTGCCCAAGGTTAATTGTTTATATGAAGAGTGTCTCTTTTTCTACATTTGAGAAATACTTTTAGAATAGAAACTGTAATAGACCAGTAATTCAGCAAAAGAGAAATTGCTGATTCCATTTTGAATTCAGAGTACATTTTTGCAGCTTGCTGTGGCAGCTTATTTTGACAGTTTAAAAAAACCCAAGTATTTTCGTCACTGTCAGCCTTGGAAACATGAATGCATGCAACTAAACCCTGCCAATATACCTTTGAAATACTGATGGTATATGGCAAATTAAATCTTTCTATGTCACTCTCCCTTTTGGTTTTCATTAATTTCATTTGGCATTGTTGGATGATTGTATCAGAAATCACTGTACATCATCATTGTATTTGCAATTTATAATTATCCATATTAAATTAATCCTTGACAACTTTTATTCAATATGTTAGTATTTGTTTTTTAGGAGAATTTACGCCAGAAATGCAGTTGCGCATCAGACAAGAGATTGAAAAGGAAAAGAAAACAGAACCTTGGAAAGAAAAATTCTTTGAAAGGTTTTATGGTGAAAAGTAAGTACTGAAGCAAATAAAAGGATTTTTTTATATTTTCTTTTAGGAGGAAATGAAAATATAATTCTATGCTTCACATAGCACGGTCATATGCTGTAAAACTTAATAAAGCAGTTATCAAGACCAGTCATTCCCCAATATAAGAAGTTGTGGGTAGAATTATAGTCGTGTGTCTGCACTTGCATTACAATTGCATTTTTAAAGAGTCATAAGTCATCCATAAAAATTCATTGCAAAGAGAGCTTAAGACACAAGCATGTGAATATTTTTTAATTATCTTCAAAAGATAGCATTAGGGCAATTCCTACCTCCTGCAAAATATAAATACAGCTTCTACAGACAAGAAGACCAGAAGCAATATTTCTGTAGTATGTTTTAATTTGTCTTATTTTTTCTAAGCTAGTTGCTACTAAAATCAAATAGTTTTTTATTTTTTGACTGAGATGGCCTATTGGCCTGAGAAGAATATATGAATATATGACATCGAAAAATGCTAGCTAGAGACAAATGAAAGTGACAGTGACTAATTTAATTTAGAAGTGAGATGCAAAGAATAAATAAATACCTTTAATGGACTAAAATTAAATATCACTCCAGGTGCACAACTGGGGTGAGTCAGCACAATTTCATTGATGATGATGATGATGATGATACAGAGATGGCATTCTTCAGCAGCTGAATACTCGGTGTTTATCTTCTTTTAAAAAACAAAATTTGAGGAGATTAACATCTTCTTAAAATCCAAGAATTTTCCTTTTAGAAAGTGTTTTTAAAAGCCAGTTCATCAATACTTAGAATTAGATCTCTGTTTTTAAAAATACTAAGAATTTACTATAAAGTTTAAACTAGCTATTTAACAGTTACTGGTTTTCTGTTTTTTGGGGTTTTTTTTTTATTTATTTTAAAGTATTTTTTAATTATATCCCAGAATCACAGAATTGTAAGGTTGGAAGGGATCTGGTCCAAGCTTCTTGCTCAAACAGTGTCATCCAGGGTCATCCTTGAGCATATGGCACAGGATTGCATTCAATCAGTTTTCCAGTGAGGAAGACTCCACACTCTCTCTGGGCAATCTGTTCCAGTGCTCAGCCACTGCATCGTGAAGTTCTTCCTCACATTCAGGTGAAATTTCCTGTGCGTCAGGATCTGCCCATTGCCTCTTGTCTAATTGCCTGGCACCACCAAGAAGAGCCTGGGCCCATCCTCTTGACATTCTCCCTTTAGGTACTTAGGTACTATAGAAATTGATGAGGTCTCCTTTCAGTTGCCTGTTCTCAAGGCTGAGCAGGTGCAGCTCCCTCAGTCTGTCCTCCTAAGAGAGATTCTCCAGACCCTCAGTCATCTTTGTTGCCCTCCACTGGACCATCTCTAGAAGCTCCATGTCTCTCTTGTACCAAGGAGCCAGAACTGGATACAGCACTCCACCTGTGGCCTCTCCAGGGCACAGCAGACAGGCGGGAGTACCTTTCCCAACCTGCTGGAATGCTCTTTGTAATGCTTCCAGAATACTGATGGCCATCTTGGTCACAAGGGCACTTCTGGCTTGTGGACAGCTCATTGTCCACCAGGACCTCATGTCCTTCTCTGCAGAGCTGCTTGCCAGTAGGTCAGCCTCCAGCCTGTCCTGCCTGGAGTTATTCCTCCCCAGATACAGGACCCTGCCCGTCCCTCCCACCTCTCAGGGTCCTTCTGAAGGGCTGCACAGGCTCTGGTGTATCAGCCACCTATCCCAGCTTTGTGTCTTCAGTGAACTTGCTGAGGAGGCATTCACCCCTTCATCCAAGTCATTGATGAGTAAGTTAAACAATATTGGGCCCAGTATTGAACTTTGGGGGACACCACTAGTGAAGGGCCTCCAAATACAGCCTGTGCCACTGATTACAATCTGTTGGGATCTGCCATTCAGTCAGTTCTCAATCTATCTCACTGTCTACTCAATCAAATGTATGCATTATATTTAGCAGAAAAATTGTTCAATTTTGTTCAATTGTTCAAAATTGTTCAATTGTTCGTCATTACATAAGTTGTCTTAGTTTTGCTGTCAGATGTTTTTCACTTAAGAAATCCAGGGCACAGGGAACCCTTCATATAACTGATTATCTTAAAGATCAACTAAAATGTTTCTGCAGTAAGAGTACTACTTCTCACAATCGACTGTCTTGGACCACTGGGAAATGCAGTGAAAAAGAGGCAAGAAATGGACAGATCCATTTTAGTATTTTATTTTGTGCACCATTGCTAGATGCTTTCCTCCCGGTGTACAGCACCCTATCTTTACATATAATGGAAATTCTATGCTCTTAGTGTCAGACTGTCTTATTGTAAAGTGCTTAATTTCTTAGTAAACAGCTTTGAGACTTCAGTTTAGTCCAGGTGTTGATCCTTTTAGTATCAAAAAATACTGGTTAGGTTTTCAGATAAAGAACAAAATGGCTTTTCATTATGCGTGTCAAGAGAAGAATCGGTGATTAACCTTTCATGGAGGAAAAGGCTGTGTAAGATACTGGTATAGGGCCTTCCACAAGAAGTAGAAGTTTATTACCAGCAATGCAGGAGTTCTTCAGTCAAAAATAACTGTCACACGCACAGAGAATGATGCTCATAATTCTGCAGAGCCAGCAGTCCTGCTGTGCTGGCTGAATGCTGGATACCATGGTGCTTGGCAGATAATTGCTCAGTCTGTGATATGTCATTTGGTTTCATAGGTTTCTGACATCAACATTGTTATGCAAAATGTCATATTCCACATCATTTCCATTTTGACTGAAGTATTGAATCTGGTCCTCCCTGCCCTTTTCCGTGCTTGCATTGTTTCACTTGCATTCTTCTGCTTGGCTGTTGTGTAGGCAGATGTACTTTGCTGGCTTAAGTACTTTTCCTCATTGTTTACTCACTGAATGGTAGCTTGTGCTGTAGCTTCCACCTTGTGTTGGCTCATGGGGCAGTCCTGTGCTGGGACAAGAGCTGGACTCAGTGATCTTGTGGATCCTTTTCAACTCAGGATATGCTGTGACTCTGTGATTCTCTTACCTTTTTTCACTTGGTTTTTAAACTAGCTTTCAGTATGACTGGGCTGTGTCTCTTTTCAGCCATGTTGATTTGAATGAACTAGCAGAATTTGTAAGATTCTCTGAGCTGTTTCTCGCATGCACTGTCTGCAAAATGAATCTGTCTTGCAGGCTAACTTACTCACTTTACAGAGTAGTACTTTTGCTCTGACTTCAATTAATTTGATCTTCATATGTTCCATAAGTAAATTCAAGTTTCACCTTCTACTTAGGGAAGGACCATTAATAGATGCAGAATCTCTGTAAGCATTTTTATGCACTCCACAGTTGGTAGCAATCAAAGACTTCAGAGTTCTTTTTCCCTGTTAGCTCTAAGCATTGCATCTTGTGTTTGCTCTTTTCTGTACCCAGGCTGTTTATTGTGGCACTGTCAGTTGCAGTTTATTCCATCCATTTTTATTCTTTTTCCACTTCTTCGTATTTGTTCATTGTTCCTCTCTCTGACTTTTCTCAAAATACAAAATCTTATTCTGTAGTCATTCATCTAGGATCAGCTGATGCATGTTGATAGAAATCCACATTCTTTTGGCTTGTGGCCCCAAGATTGCAAGGGATGTACTCTATTATGCCAATATATTATCTCTTTTCTCACTTTTGAGAGTTACATGTCAGGATAGTACTATCAGCTAGATCAAAGCTTTAATTTTGGGTAGACCTCCTCCAAATTTTATTGCTGATTTAATCCTTTTCTTACTTTGATTCTTCCTCGCCCCCCCACCCAGTACTATTTATCACAGCACTAGAATATCAGCATTCATATATCATTGAGAAGCTTTTGGGGTGTTCTTAGTGGCTGACTGAGTGCCCTTATTTTACCAGTTGAATCCTGTCCTTAGCACTTTCATTGAAATCTGCTTGCTGCTGCACTCATATTTTTGTGCTGTTTTGCAAACTTTGGGTGTCTTTTTTTCTAAGAGAGAAGACAGATCAGCTGTTTATTTTGCAATCTGAGATTGCCTTAAAAATGCTGATCTTGAGCCTTCTTTAGAAAGCCTTTTTCTTCAGTTTCTTCTTCAACATAGTAATATTTCCAATATTGAAAAAAATTATTAAGATTCAGTATGTGTTCTGCTGGCCTTAATCTGCTTTTACAGTTCTTTATCTTCAATATGTTACTAGAATGTGTGTATTTGTGTAGTGTCCATGTGACAGTTTCATTCACCTTTATCCTGTCCTTCATTCCTTTGCTGATTTCAGTCCATGAAGATAGCCATCAAGCAGTATCTTTTCATGATGTAACCCAGCTAGAGAAAATAGACCATTGATTCAGTTTTCAGTAATGGGATGGATTTTTTTTCCTTTCCCATTTTCCTGAGATAACTTTGGCTCCTTAACACAAGGAATTGTAGAGGAAGTTATTCATCAAACCCCTGGTAAAACTAAACTTTACTCTCCTAAACTTACAACCTGAACTTAGACCATATGGGGAGCTTATAGTCTCTACAGAAGAAAGACACATCTTCTGAAATGCATTCAGTGTGGGAATTGTGAATTTGCTGCTCTGAATTGCTCTCTAGAGGATCCTTCCTCAGCTTACTGATGGCAAAGGGAGACTTTGTTCATGATTAGTGTCTAGTAGTAGTCAATACTAATAATTAAGCATGCTTTTTGGGATGCCAGTTCCAGGCTGGGTTGGTTTGGGGCTTTTTTCTTGGGTTTACAGCTCTCACTGTAATACATCTGTTCAGTGTTTTTAAAATGCACAGCCACAGATTTTGGTTTTTTATGTGTTCTGTACTTTCATCTGAATAGGCCTTTGTATCTCTGTATCCTCTGGCTACACACTGACAAGCAATTTTGCTTCCATAGCTTCTGAATATTTTTTATGCTTGCTTGTTTCCATTTTATTCTTTATTTTCTGATTAAATTATAACAGAGATCTGTTTAGTAGATAGAAGATCCTTAAGACCATGAAATTTCTTTTAAGGCCTCCCACCAAGCTTTTGTGTATTTTCTACTATTATGGAATTGCTGAGGCATAAAGTCTGCTTGGAAAATCTTACTAAAGGTGCTGAGCGTCTGTACTCCCACTGGCCTTAGAAGGAAATAAAGATGTCAGAGCACATACATTTTTTAAAATAACCTTTTTTTTTATCTCTTGGCTGTAGTTTTGTTTTGGTTTTTTTTTGATGTTTTAATTCTGCTGGAGTAATAAAACTTTATATAATGAGCATTTTTAGGATCAAAGGTAAGAAAATCTTCAGAAGCATGCATAGTATACATGGTTCCTTTGCACTTCATCCCTGAGAATGAATGCATAGATTCTAAACATGTATCTTTTAGCTCCTTAAGAATGTTAAACTTCTTTCATATGGCAGGCTGTGTTGACCCTAAAAGCAGGTGAAGGAGGGGAAAAGGGATTTCCTTTACAACTATTCCCACTAGAAGATGATGCAGTTGTGCATTTCTTCTGCAATGGATGCTGTACCAGTGTTGCAGTGTTGTGCTGGTATTTAAAAAAGAAACAAACAAACTAACAAACAAAAAAACCCAAAAACACCAGGAATGTATACAGAGAGATTACTTATATTAAAATTATTCATGGTTTTTAATACTTGTAAGGAAATCTCAGTAGTTAGGTTTCTAAAATACATAAAATTGTATATAAATTAGTTAGCCACCACTTAAGTAAGCCACTATTTTAAACTTGAAAATATGTATTTTTTGGAAATAAAAAATGTGGGTGAGAAAAGTTAGCCTATTCCCTTATCCTTAATGTGATGGAAATATCTATTTTAATTTCTGTTTTTCTTTAGGTTGGGAATGTCAAGAGGAGAATCAAAGAAGCTCACTGCAGTGCAGAACAATGATGAAGATGAAAGCAATTCTTTGTGCAGATCTTCTGGCACACCTGGTCCTTCTAAGAAAGCAACCTTTGAGGATCAAGAGGAGAAAGGTGCTAAAGTTCAACCTTTACCAGAGAGTGATTATAGTCCATCTCATTGTAGTATGGAACAGGTTCCTGTCAAGGATCTAACAGCAGATTCTGAGGATATACTGATACCTGAAGAATCAGTCATTCAGGAGGAAATTGCTGAAGAGGTCGAGACAAGTATTTGTGAATGCCAGGAGGAGAACCATAAGCCAGAACATGAGTTTTCGGAGGAGTCTGTAAGTCCAGCTGGCACAAATGAGGAAACAGAGGCAGTACAGCTTGCAGAAAGCACTGAGTCCTGTGTCATGATGAATGATGTAACTGATACTGTATCTCGCATTGAAATTAAAGTAGAGTTGAAGTCAGAATGCCCTCAGGAGGAGATGTCAGTTGTGATAGATCAGCTGGAGGATTGCATATCACCAGCACGATCAGCTTCATCCACAAACTCTGTCAGCTGTACAGCTGAGAAGGATTCTGAGTCTGCAAAAGAACTAATTGTGCCAGAAATGCAAAGTGCCGCTCTGGAAGGCTCCTTGTTCACTGGTGGAGGCATTGCAGTGGATATGGAGCTTCATAGTGACCCTGAGGAGCAGTTGTCTGAGAATGCTTGTATTTCTGAAACCTCCTTTTCTTCTGGAAGTCCAGAAGTTTGTATTGCCTCTCCTGGAGGAGACACTCAGTCAACTTCAGAGGAACCCTGTACGCCAGCATCTCTTGAAACAGCTTGTTCATCTGAAGTGTCCAATTCTGAAAATATTGAAGGTGATATTCAGCAAAAGGCCAGTGATGAAAACTTGAACACACCCTTAATGTCAGAAATCTCTCCGATGTCCACCTCACCTGTAACCTCAGAAGCTTCTTTGATGTCAAATTTACCTTTAACATCAGAGGCATCACCAGCTTCTAATTTACCTTTAACATCAGAAACGTCTCCAATGTCTGATTTGCCTTTAACATCAGAAACATCTTCAGTATCTTCTGTTCTTCTAACTTCTGAAACATTTGTGACAAATAGTTTGCCTCTTCCATCAGAGATATCTCCAGTCTCTAATTCTCCAAGCAGTGAAAGACTTACACTGCAACAAAGAAAATCACCATGTTTGTTGGAAGACTCCCTTCCCACTCTGAAAGAAGAAAGCTCTGTCATTCCTAAGGTGGTTCAAGAAGAGAATCTTGTTCAGCCAAAACAACTTCAGAGTGCCCCTGAAAATATGAAAGTTGGTCCACTAACAATTATACCTGATACTTCAGTATTGGAAGAGTCCCAAAGCAAAAATATCAGTCATCAGCCATGTAAGTCACATTCTGAAATTGAGAAATCCTACATTGCATCCATCCCAGAACACACTCCTCCAGAGGTGATCAAAAATAAAAATCACACTGTTCACCAAAGAGGTGACAAGAAAGGTACACTCTTGCCCTCAGAGGTGTGTGTCTTATCAGAAGGATCACTTTGCAAAAATATCGAATTGCTTCCATCAAAGCCACATGATAAACTATATACCTCATCTCTAGAGAAAGCTACGTTCTCTGAAGCGTGCAGAAGTAAATCTCACAAGCTAACAGGCAGCACCCAAAGTCGTCTAGAGAGTTCGCATTCTTCCAAGTCTTTAGAACCCACAAAATCACCAGAAGCAAGAAATGAAAGTAGAGACCCAGAGATCCCAAAGAGGAAAACAGCAGAACAGCATGGTTTTGGAATCTGTAAAGAGAAGAGAGCTAGAATAGATGATGATCTGCCTAATCGTAGTGCTTCATCAACAAGTCCGTCTGATAAAGAACAGCCGCCCAGAGAGGAGCCCCGAGTTCCACCCCTTAAGGTAAAGTAATGAATAAACAGGGTGGCTTGGAAACAAAATGTTTATTTTGTCCCTCTATGAACTGCATACAGGAACAGTACATGCTATATTTTTGGGGATGTATAAGGGTTGTTAGTACTGATGGTTTTGCTTTACTATTACATTTCCACCCTGCCAAATTACTTCTGATACAGATATATCTACGGTTGTTTGGTAGGGGTCTTTGCTAAAAGATTGATTTTGTGTGTGGCAGAGCTCTCCAGGATCCATTGATTCAATCCAATTCAAGATCATCCCCATCAATCACATGCAGCACTTGTTTTTCTAATTTTGTGCTTGTTCCCATCTGTATTTTGTGCTTATTCTTCTGTGGATGTCTTCTCCAGCAAGCATGACTAATAAATGTTATCATAACCAGTACTTAGAAAAACAACCAGCACCTTAATCCAGCAAGAGTACCAAGAGCCAAAATAGTTGAAGATCCTTTTGCAAGCCCAAGGCTTGCAAATATATATATTTCAAGGCTGAAATGTAAGATTTCCCTGTAGAATTAACTGGAAACAGACCTATCAGGGGGAAGTATCTGATTTACATATATATATATATACACCTTTGTTAATGGCAAAGGGAAAAAAAATGTACCACCTAAGGAAACACTTGAACACTTGTATGTGTATTATTCTGCGATGTAAGAAAGTATATTTCAGTTGAAAAGGGTTTTTTTTTTTCATAACAGAGAGTTCTGTAGATTCAGTTATATATAGGCTCAGTGTTTTGAGCCTTTTAGTTTCGTACTTGATGACATCAGCCAAGTTTAAGATCCAATTTACTGTATTTAAACCATTGACTTTGCAATACTAGTTCCTGATTATTCAGAAATGCCCTTTTCTGCTTTTATTTTTAACTTCTGCAGTCACTGAACATTGTTAATATGGCCGGGAGGGCAAATAGACTAATAGGTTCTAATCACTAGTGCAGAAGCACATTTCAGATAATTTATTTTTAAGAGCAGTGATGCAATTGGAAGTTAGCCCTGTTCTGAGTTTAGTGATATTCTTTCATATTTGGAAGGCTCTATCTAGGCTAACACATTCTAATAACTCTCTAAGCATAAAGGAAATAGATCACTAGGGAATAAAGAAAGGTCATTACTTTAATAATAATAAAAAAAATAACCAAGCACTTAGAGCTCTAGGAGTTCTGGTAATGCAAAGTGGAAACTGAAAAGAGTTGCTGCTGAAACTGAAAGCAGAATGTTTTGAAGAATTGTGGGCAGTCAATTCTAGTATGCTTTTTGTGTAAAAAAAATTTGGCTCTTATATCATCTCACCAACAAACCCCTATCATTTGTAATTAAAGGAGGAAAAAAGAACCCCAGTTCTTCCAAGTCATTCTCTGTTGTATGGCTGTCACTTACCATCATCTTATGACTACTTTTTCTACAAATACTGCCTAGTTTTCTACTCAGCTCCTTTCAGAAGATACATCATAGCATTTACCACTAAGTTCTATTGCTAGAGAAAGCCAGTAGACATATGTCCATTTTAAGAAATTGATTTTTTTTTTCCAATCTTGGGGCATCCTGAGAGAGTGTATGAGTTACAAAGTGTTTCCAAGATTCTTAATCCTGAAAAACTATATGCCTAATTGGAAACATGCTAATAATTCCAGGGATTTTACAGGTTTTTATTTTGCTTAAAGTGCCAGGTATTTAAGTTTTTAATATTTCTGAGTTTACTATTTATAGCCTTGAGGATTTAATTTTTAAAGTGCAGTAATGTAAGAGTTATCCAGGGATGTACTAAAGCGAGTCTCTTAAAAATGCAAGTGAGGAAAGAAAAGATATATCCTTTAGTGATTTACTTCTTTTACACCTCTAAAATCCTCCATTGTGGAAGTTGGAAAACAGGCTCAGTGGAGATACCACTGCATCCTGTCTAATGGCAAGATTTGTTGTCTGGTTTATAAGCAAAACACAGGCTTAATCACTGGCGACCAAGGAGAAAGGCACTGCATGATCATTACTTTTTCACATGTTTGCAGGAAGGGGCTGCTTGCAGGTTCTTGTCCAGTATCACTGCACAAGGCTTGCTGATCATCTCAGGTAGATGCACTGAATATAAAACAGGTCTGACAAATTATATCTGATAAGCATCATGTTGTCATCCAGTTCAATCTTTCTTCCTGTCAGAAGGATAGGTGTGAGTAGGCTAATACAGGTGTCAGTTATTCACACTAGAGGATGATAAAATATTGAAGCATAAATATCATTAAGTTTTAGCAGGTTTTTGTCCACCTGCATTGAACAGTAATTCCTTTCACTACCTTTCTCTGACCTTAAAGAGGCAGCTGGTTATTTTAGTGACTTGATGATCTCATTAAAATTTACTGGATTTTTTTCTTTTTCTTCCTTTAGATTCAGCTTTCAAAAATTGGACCGCCTTTTATCATCAAGAGCCAGCCTGTTTCTAAACCAGAACCTCGAGTTTCCCCAAGTACATCAGTCAGCAGTGGGAGAAACACTGGGGCTAGAACTCTGGCAGATATCAAAGCAAGAGCTCAGCAAGCAAGAGCCCAAAGAGAAGCTGCAGCTGCAGCAGCCGTGGCAGCAGCTGCCAGCATAGTCTCTGGTGCAATGGGAGCCCCGTGCGAAGGTGGAAAGACAAGAACGCTGGCACACATCAAGGAGCAAACAAAGGCCAAGCTATTTGCAAAGCATCAAGCCAGAGCTCATTTACTCCAGACTAATAAAGAATCAAAGTCACAGTTCGGCTCAAAGGAAAGTAGTACCTCATCTCTGGAGATACCAACGACTACTGACACAAAGATTGAAGGTTCTACTGGTGTCATTATAGTTAATCCTAACTGCAGGTCCCCTAGCAACAAGTCTTCTCATCACCGTGAGACCACCACTTTATTGCAGCAGTCCCTTAACACAGCTACATTACCAGAAACTGCTACTGAGTTATCTGTGCACAGTTCTGATGAAAATATACCTGTGCCACAATTGTGTGAGAAAATTATTTCATCTACCTCTACCGAAAGTAACAGTGTGCCAGTGCTTTATAATAAAAGTTCAGTCTCTGTGTGTGTTTGCAGCACTGCTATGTCTGGAGCAATTAAAGAACTTTCTTTTGCAAGTTCTGTTGATAAATCCTCTGTGTTAATGTCTGTTGACAGCGCAAACACAGCAATTTCAGCCTGTAATATAAATATGCTGAAAACCATCCAAGGGGCTGATACTCCATGCATAACTGTTGGACCAAAATGTATTGATAACAGTAATGTACCGGTCTCCATAGACAACACAGTCTTACCAAATGCCATCGATGACAAAAGGTTGCCAGTACCCAGTAGCAATGTGAATAACGCAGTCTCCAGTCATTATGCCACTGTGCCAGCTTCATCTATTGCAAGTAACTTGCCGAATCATCTCTCTGGTAGTTCTGTACTGATTCCCCCAGTGGGGACTACCAACAGATTTCCTTCTGATAAGATAGCCATAACCAGGTGTAGTGAGCAGAGCACTGTCTCCATCCACACTACCGTCAGGTCAGCTTTAAGTTGCAGTGAGGCCCTTGCAGCAGCAGATTCTGTTGCAAGGCCACCTCTCTCAATGTTTACTGGTAACATGGTGACAATAAGCTCTTATGATAACGCTGCTAAGCTGAATGCTGATCTCTTAGAAAAAAGCTCTGGAACACGAAACCGGGTGGATCTCTCTGGTAAATCTCATCCGCTGAGCTTTACACAAACTGCCATGAATAGGTCTATACCTTGTAAAGTCATTGTTGACCACACTACGAACCAGAATTCCGGTCTGTCACTTTCTTCCTCTATTGAAAATGTAGAGAACAGCATTGACCTGCAGAGCAGACCTGTAAGGACAGAAGCTGCCTTACAAAGTATAGCTTGTCCTCAGGTGTCTGTCATAAGCAGGCCTGAAGTGGTTGCTAATGAAAACCTTGAGCACAGTTCCAGCTTTATCGCCATTACAGCAAAGCAAGACAGCAAAAACTTGCAGGCAGGTTGTTCAAGTCTTCGAGAAGTGCCTCTTGCTCCTCAAGATAAATTAATTGAGGTGGTTACTACCAGCCAAGGCTTTGCTGAGCAACTAAGAGGTCCTTCAGCACTGAAAAATGAAGCCAATGCTGCCTGTGCCAATCAGTACAACTCTAACAATAGAATTTGTTGGCGTGATGAGGAGGCAATGAATACAGACCAGCCAGTGGTCAGCCATCTTACCTCTGGTAAGCATAAGGAGTACGCAGAGCAAAACTGCTTGAAAAATGTCAAGAGCGAACCTTCCAGTTACACACAAATGTCAGAACTGCAGTCCAGGAGTCTTTTGACAAGCATTGGTGTTCCTGTTAAACTGGAAACTAATGAGACTGACAAGTGCTTCAGGATGGACACTGAGGATTTTACAGGACCTGAAATGCCTGCCCAGACTGCAGAAATAGCCACGACTGTGCAGCCGCCGCAGACCTCCAAGACATCCATCGCTGACTCCATGGAAGATTCCCTGTCCCTGACAACAGAAACCCTAAAGAGAGTTACGAGTGCCGGGGGCTCTAGCTGTCGCCTGTCGTCAGTGGAGGCCAACAATCCCTTAGTGACACAGTTACTGCAAGGCAATCTGCCTTTAGAAAAAGTGCTGCCGCAGCCCAGATCAGGAGCCAAACTAGAAATTAACAGGCTTCCCTTGCCTTTGCAAACTACCTCAGTATGTAAAACAGTAGTGGCTGAGAGAAATATTGTTGAACATGCTTCCAACTCTCCTAATCCAGATGGTAAAGGATTTACAGCAGGCAGCATAGCCCCACTACAAATCAGAAAGCGTGAAAACCATCCAAAAAAGAGGATGGCCAGGACTATAGGGGAACATGCTCAAATTAAATGTGAGCCTGGGAAGGTGTCAATGGACACAGATGTTAAAGTGGCTCCTTGTGTAATTAGTTCCAGCATGAATCAGCTAGGGCACGGACAGCCATTTAAGCAGGAGTGGCTTAACAAACACGCCATTCAGAGCCGGATCGCTCACAGCCCAGAGATCAAGCAGCAGAAGAGACCGTTGCCTTCATGCAGTTTCCAGCAGAGCTTATTTCACATTGATAAAAATGGCAGCTTTCACGCAGAAGCCAGTACCTCACATAGACAGCATTTTTACCAAATGTCCATGGCTGCGAGAGGCCCCATTCCTACGGCAGCTTTGTTGCAAACTACTTCAAAAGGCCCACCTGGCTGCAACTCATTTGCTTTTAGCAGACACCTGGAACAGAAGGGTTTGGGAGACGTGAATATTTCTACAGCAGCTCACCAGCTGAGGCTAGGAAGTGTGTTTTCCCCTAATATTCAAATTAAGGAAGGTGATGACATTGCCAGTGCCTCTCAAACTCTGCAGAGTAAAACATTAGTGCATCCCCCTGCTCCCCCTCCGCCCCTGCCACCTCCTCCCCCTCCTCACCCAAATGCAGAAGTCCCCTCTGATCAAAAACAACCGACAGTTACTATGGAAACCACTAAAAGACTTAGTTGGCCTCAGCCAGCAAGCATCTGTAGCAATATAAAATCTGAACCTATTTCTTTTGAGGAAGGTTTAAGCAGCAGCTGCGAACTGGGCATGAAACAAGCTTCCTATGATCAGAACGAAGTGAAAGAACAGTTAAAAGCGTTTGCATTAAAAAATGCAGACTTCTCTTCCTATTTACTTTCTGAGCCACAGAAGCCTTTTACCCAACTTGCTGCTCAGAAAATACAGACGCAGCACCCACAGCAGCAGCAGCAGCAGCTCTGTGGAAATTATCCAACAATACACTTTGGTAGCACAAGTTTCAAAAGGGCAGCATCTGCAATTGAGAAATCGATTGGGATTTTAGGAAGTGGTTCAAACACTGCCACAGGCCTGTCTAACCAGAACGCGCAGATCCCGGTTCAGAAATTTGCTGACAGCAGCAACGCCGATGAGCTGGAACTGAAATGCTCCTGCAGGCTGAAAGCCATGATCGTGTGCAAAGGCTGCGGAGCCTTCTGTCATGATGACTGCATAGGGCCTTCCAAACTGTGTGTAGCTTGTCTGGTGGTGCGGTAGGAGCTCAGTCAAAGATGCAGTATCCCTTATAAACGTGGGAGAGCAGGACAAAGGAACAGAGAAATTGGAACAGTTTAGGCCACTAATGGTTTGCAATGAGTGGATTGATTTTTTTTTTTTAACTGTCTTTTTTTTTATTTGGTTTGGTTTGGTTTTTTCTCCTACGTGGTGCTTTCAGAACTTAGTTATTCTGCCTGAGTGCCATTTTCTGGGAAGAAGAGGAGACCTGTAGAAGTAGTTTAAGAAAAAGATAGCCTTGTTACTGAGGCATCTATGAGCTCTCTTGCTGTGCTAAAAAGAAAAAGCAAAATGCATTAATGCATGTAATTTGTAGCTTCTATTTATTTGCACAAAGTGCAGCACATTTTTCTCCACTGTTTGATATGAGCTGCAGGTTAAAGATCAGTGGAAGAATAGCACTGTAAGAAGTGGAGTAACTATGCAGAATGAATAACACACTGAATAGCAGCTGGTGTGAGCGGGGTAGTGGCAAGGTGTGGGGTGCTGACCATTGTAGATTCTAAGTCAGTTTGCAGTCTCTCTGCTGACAAGATTGTTTTCTTCAATTGACTTTCACTATCTAGGGCTAAAATATAGTCACTTCACCTAACAAAAGAAATTTAAAAGAGGCATTTAGATGGTTAGAGAAGTTTCCTTATGTGCCTGCCAGGGACTGTGGAACTCAAATCTTACTCATCATCTCTTCTTTGTTGATTCCTTGAGAAAGATTTCTACATGTGGTGAGTTAGTGGGACCAACACTGGAAACACATTGGCTTCAGTAGAGTCTGGAGAAGGTAACTTCTCTGCTGGAGATTAGAGATCTCTTTTCCTGTTTCTCACTCAAATGGTCTTTATTCATATTTGTCTCTCTAATCCTTCCACTAGGTTTGTCAGTCCCAAATATATACAAAAATAAGGTCAAACATAGGTCATTGGTTCTCGAGGTTGTAGTCTTTCTAAAGTGGCCTAAAAATGATGCATTATTCTGATGAATGAATAAGGAAAGATTTTAATTGCATATTGGTTGGATGTTAGCTTATAATTTCTTTTTCCTCTTATTGAGTTACTCTATTTAAATAACATCTCAGAGTTTTGCCATTTAAAGTAATTCTTAGAAGTACTTACAACACTGACTTTTTTTCTCTTAAAGAAAGTCAGACCCCTTTTAGAAATTTGGAAGCAAAGTGTAGAAGCAAAGTGTATTTTTAAAAGGGATACTGCATCTTTAAAGTAACCTTCAGTAATTATCCAGTACTGTATTTACATTCAGGACTATAGCTGCATTACAGATGTGCTAGCCACCATAACAGCAGAAAAGAAAAACGATGATTTTGGAGTCCTATTCACCTAAAAGGAAAATATTATAAAGGGATAAAGCACATGCAGTTGCTGGGGAGATGAAAACACTTTGGGTTTTTCTTTACTCCCACTTGAAGAACACAACATGTGGAGTTCAAGTCATCCATCTGCCAGTGTGTGGTTGGGTCTGCCCAAATGTCAGCATCAAGAGAAACAGGTTTTTTTTACCATCACAGTAGAACCTCACTAATCCAAAGACCTTACAGCCTGCCCAAGAAAACTAATTTTCCTTGCATGTTTTTAAGAGAGCAGTGTAGTAAGAATGTGTGAGATGTAAGACTGCTTGGTTTCATCGTGCAGTGAGCTGTTGCATTCTGAAGTACTAATGTGAATGATAGAGCTACATTTAGGAAATGAAAAGTATGCTATATTTTAGAGCATGCTTTTTTTGTCTGATCTTTGTTTGTGTGCTTTTCATCAGCTGTAAGTGGTCTCCCTGACTCGGGGGCATATTAGTGAGGTTCTGCTGAATGAAGGAATCATATTTATTTTCTTGCGGGACCATTTTCACAAACATGATAAATGCTGTTTATTGTCTTAAAAGTGAGCTGGAATATCTACAACATACATTCCTGTCATAGGAAGCTCTATGGTGCACCTTGATGTTCTCTTTTATTGTAATTAGCAACATATCAATATTATTTTTGACACTGTGTGGTACAAAGGCCATTTGTAATAACTAACAAATTTGTTGCTGATACAATAATACTTTTTTTTTTTTTCTATACAAAAGTGCTCCTTAATATGACATGTGAACTAAGGAATGGCTTCTCAGCACTTTCAGGTCTTCTGGTAGGAAAATAAGCCAGCCAAGCAAAAACCTAAAAGTAACCAAGTGAAAATTAGCATCCACTGCTATGCCAGCTGCTGGTGAAATAGCAACTGAGCAATACTCATGAGTAAGCATGAGTGTAGTCAGTTAATGTATATCAGATTCATAGTTGAGGAGCCTTTGTATTAGAATTGTATTGCATTGTATTTATACTTGGTAGAGCTAGGATCTTCTATTTAAGTAAGGTTTTTTTTTTTAAAAAAAAAAAAAAAAAAAAAAAAAAAAGAGAGCAACCAGTCTTAGACTTTTATTTACCTATGTTTATATAAGCCTGCTGGGAATCCTTATTTCTAGCTCAGGTTTTCCTGTCCACAGCACATAAGTCAATATTTGTTTGTACTTGCATCTTGAAATAGTTCTTGTATTGACTGACATAATACAGAAATAAATTCCGGCCACAACATAGGTTTCCTTTGTGTGAAGGGTAAGAGTGTGACTAATGTGGTAGGTCACTCATTCATGTCCTACTGTCATTTTTGTATCAGGATTGCAACTTGCATGCATGAGGTCATGACAAAATGTATTTAAAATGTCATTAGACTGGATGGTGCTATGTTACATTACAAAACTGACCAAACTCTTCCATAGTGCAATTCCACTCCTTTCATTTTGGAGTCACTGGAGATGCACCAGGAATAAATTTGAGCAATTAGTTAGCAACAGTGGTGAAGTGTTGTTACGGATTAGGTTTAGGGTATGAAAATACTCAAAAGCAACCACGGTGATGTGAGAGTCTGATTGAATCCTAGCGTGACTGAAAACCTTATGTGGATTTTGGTATCACACAAATGCCTAGGGGAGAGTGACTCTAGGCCTTTGGTAAGAACACAGTCACATTTAGGCGTTAATTTTGAATTACCCCTTTTTTTTGTTGTTGTTTGATTGTTCAGATTTCAGGCTCAATGTCATTGTGTTTTCTAATGACCATGCCATTTGCACCGTGGGTTGTTAATAGTTTATGCACTGAAAAGTGGAAGAATTACTTAAGAACACACTGCTCTGTGTTTGTGTGTACGTACGTATGTGTCCCAATGTCCAGCATGTATAATTTACCTTTTTTTTTTTTAAATCTCTAAAATTGTCCCCCTACTCCTACCCCTGGAGCAGCACTTTTGGGTGAGAGAGAGAAACGCTTTTTTCTTTCCTCCCTCTCTGTTGTTTTAATTGCATACCTGTGAGATATGCAGATAACGTTAGGGCATTTGCAGTGAGTGTGTTTGTGTGTTTCTGTTCCGAAATAACTTTCCAAGCAGAAACTCCCTTTGAAATAATGTTTAAAAAAATAATTAAGAAATGGTGAACTGGATGCTCCCTGTTTGCATTTTATTTATCTGCTGAAATCTAGTACATGAAATAGCATTTGAAAGACGAAAATAAAGGTTGAGCCATAAAGCAAAAGGTATATATTCTCTGTACTATAGACTTTCTTCTTGAGGGTGGTGCATGTTGTCAGGGTAAGCTACAGAACGTGCAGATGGTTTTTCAGGGCCCTGCAATTCCTTGCACAGTTTTTAAGCTGGTGCATATGGTGCTTTATAATGCAATTTCTGAAGTAAAATTACCTTATGCTGCACCCCCTTCCCCTTATGAACACACGCACAATTTCAGAATCGTTATTGTAGCCTCTGGTTTAGCAGTTTCTCCAAGGTGTGGTGAAGTACCAGGATAAACACTCGAGATGAGCTGAGAAATGTCACCAAAAGGGATCATTTTAGCTGACGCACATGAAGGGCCCTGCTCTGATCACTGAATGACTTCTGCAGTCTCCTGGCAGCAGCGCAGCAGGCTCATCTTCCGTGGCTCTGCGGAGCACTGGGGGGGAAGCAGCGAAATATTCAGTGGCTTTATCACGGACCTGTGTAGCTAAATGTTTCTGAATCTATGAAATCCTGTTGTCTTCGGTCATCATGCTTTGTCACTGTAAAACCAACGAAAAGGAAAATAAAAGCATTTTTTAGTCTAATTTAAGGAGCTGCTTCTTTTATAGCACATAATATTTCGCTTTGTACTATATTTGATAGTTAAAGAATAATTTAGTCCGTAGAATAACTTTGTTGTATTTGTACTGTTCATGAATGTTACAAGAAAAGTGCTTTACTTTGTTGCCATAATTCTCTTGTACTGCTGTAAAATATTTTTTCTGCTTTATGGAAACTTAACTCGGTTCACATTTTCAGTACAGGGTTTTTTGTGTGTATGTAATTTTTTTTTTTGTCAGTATTCTGAATGTTTACATCTGTTCAACATTAGCCATTCTATGCCTTTATAGGGCAGTATTACTCCTGCAGTATAACAGCAATGTGAAATCCACTCATACCTAACATGCATGAGAAATACAGATTTATTGGGGAGATCCCTAATGTGCATAGATACTTTTTCTATCTGCATTTAGTGAAGTAAATACCCTCCTTCAGTCCTCTACCAAAGAAAATGTTATCCCCACAGGACAAGCTCAGAAAGTGGTTCTCTGAATTTTCAGAAGGGGGTGTAGTTGGTTTCAGCAAGATTGCTACAGTTTGATGCTGTTATGCTTTGCTTTGTTACCCCACCAGATGTGACTGGGTGAAACAAGCATTTTAGCAATTTTTTGTGTTTCAAGACAGTGTTTTGTTTAGAATTCAGGGATCATGCTTTCTTTAATGGTGCTGTTTGTTTTATTATTTTTTTTAAGAAAACAACCTTTTGTTGCCTACAGAAATGACCATTCACAAAACCATAAATTAATAAAATAATTTGTCTTCATAACTTTTCTCCCTTTCCTTTCCCCCTTCCCTCTCCCTTGAAAATAACAACTTGGGCTTCAATAT